AACGTCTCCACCAACTCCGATCCGGGATTACGCATGCAGGGTCAGCGCCCGAGCATACGAACGTATCTCGAGAGATTGGGATACAGGAGTGAATTATAGGCACGAACGTCCTCACAAACTTGGGCTATATTCCATAATGGCAAAATGCTACTAACAATAAAAGAAAGCGGGAAGAGTTATGAACGTAGAGACAATGATGGGGCAAAAAGGTTGTGTATTCCTCGGCTCTACTGGCCGGATAAGTACATAGTCAAAATGAAGAGATTACGGGCTACATTAAACAAAATTTGGGGAAACAGGCCGGGACCCCCCAGGAACGGTCTCTTCTTCCTCTTCGGGCTCGGGCTCGGGGGTCGGAGGCTCCGGAACTTCACCCCTGGCTTTGGCTTCCTCCCGCCGGGCGTCCCTCTCCAGCTTGCCCACTGCCCGTATCAACTCCGGGTCCGTGGTGTGCTGGGCCAGATCGAATCCGGGACCCTGAAGAGCGGCGAAGACCGGCAATGTGGCCTTTACCCCCTCGTTGTAGCCGATGACAAAGGAGCTATCCCCAACATCATACAGGAACTTCTCGGCCAGGGGGGCACTCTCCAGGACCTGGACCCCGAACTTAAGCCGGTCCTTCGGCGCACGCTTCTGCAGCTCGGCGGCGAATACATCGCCGAAGGCACCGCCGAGATACCTCTGGGCGGCGATCATGAAAGCCCCAGAGTTACGATACCCGGTATCATCGACGAGCCATTCAGGGGCCTCGTCCTTGGGAGCAGGGAGAGCTGGGACGAGCTTGAACCCGGCCTTCTCCAGAACCGCGAGTTTCGCGGAGGACTCGCGGGCTATCTGCAGGGCGGCCTGCAGTTCTTTGTCCTTGGCCGCCAGCTCCTTCTCCTGAAGACGAGCGGCCTCCCTCGCCTTCTTCAGGGCCGCATCTGCCTTATTCCTGGCCTGAAGGGCATCGGCATCTCGAGCAGCCTCGGCCTGCAGCGTAGAGAGTCCAACCTACAAAAGAGACAAAGAGGATGAGACTTCAATTCAACAGAATACGGAAATCTACCGCCCGACGAGAGGCAAAGTCTCACCTGAAGAGCGGCGGCCAGAACCGCATTAGAGGCCTCCGAAGACGTCCGGGGAGGCATTTCCACGCCGACCAGAGAGGCAATCTCCTGCCAGACATCATGAGCCGGGCGCCCAAGGGGGGGAAGGATTAACCCCTGCTCGTCGGGGGCTGAAGAGGAAGCCCCCCGGGGCCTCTTGGACTTCTTGTCCTTCGCCTTCTCTCCCTCATGGGGATGGACGGCCTGCAGAGGTGCCACAACCTCGGGGACGCCAGGATTAAGGATTGGGGCCTGGGACCCCTGCGCCATCACCGTGGCGATGAGGTGCCGTTCCGCCTCCACCGTGCGACGATCGGCCTGGGAGGCAGAGGAGTTAGAATCTGCTGTTTGAACGGTCTTGGCCTTGGCAAGGGCAGCATCAGCAGCAGCGCCTTTGCCTTTCCTCGTCCTGAGGAGCTTCTCGTGATTCATTTGTTCTATGGTCGGGGGGAGGCCTGAAAGGAAAATAGGAAATATGTTAGATGGACGGGCGTCAGGAATGACTCACCTCGGAGGTCAGGACCGCCCAGTACCCCGAGACGAGCGTAGGAGGAAAGATGCCCGAGAGTATGGGCGGTACCTATTCCTGCCGCGGCAAGTGCCTCAAAAGTTAGGAAGTCATCCAAGGGCCGGACGCCGCCCGTCGAGATCTTCCTGATGTCCTCCTCCAGATCGTCGGTCAGCTCCGGGGACCCTATCTTGGGCGGATAGCCATTCCACCGTAGTGGCAGACGGGCATCCGCGTACCGCACGAAGAAGAACCGATTCTTCCAATCATGGATGGAACTCGGTGCCCCGCTGAACAACCTCCGCTTCGGACGGGCTGCGATGCTCAGGAAACCGTCGGAATTTTGGGGGGTGAGCCGGTAGAAGTAATGGAACAGATCCAAAGTGGCGGTGACCCCATTGTCCTTGCAACGGACTAGGAAGGCGGAGAGCCACCGATAGGAATTCGGCATGAGTTGTGCGGGGGCTATCTGGTAACAACAGAAGAATTCCACAAGGAACGGATGAAGAGGGAAGAGCAGTCCAGCCTCGATTGAGTCCAGAAGCACCATAATCATCCCTGGGCGTCTCCTCATCACGTGGGTTGCGCCACGAAGGCTGTATACGGACGGAGGGGGAAGAACACCTTCAGTTTGTTGAGGGCCACCGGCGAGAAGACCTGCTCGTGGCAGAGGACATTCTTGATCGGGCATAGATGCCTCTCCACATCTATCTTTAGCCCGAGGTCGAAAACTTCGATGTCGGAACCGTCCTGGGCCTCGACCCCAGAGTCATATCCGTCCGGACGACCGTCCTCACTGGCGGACTCCTGTTCCCCGTCTTCAACCACGGGATCCACCACGTCGAGAGCCATACTGTGTTGCTCCCCCGAATCAGCACCCTCCTCACCGGGGACAATTTTAACAACACCAATTTGGGCTTCCCCGGCCTGAACAGTTCCCACGGTAGGGGCCGAGCCAGAACTACCGGAAGTGCTAGTCTCGCCCGAGGAGCGTGAACCGGAATCAGAAGAGGAGCCCGTGGAGGAACCCGATGAACCCGAACCAGAACTTGACGAGATCTCCATCGAAACCATCTCGGCGAGAATTCAAGACAAGGAAAAGAAGCAGAGGATGGAAGTTACCTTAGAAAGGGGTTAGCCGAGCTTGAAAGCGGGAGAAGACTTGAGGAGCTGCGGAAATTCGGAAACAAGGGAGCAGAAATCGGGAACCCTAATCCAGAGGGAAAACCCGGCATTTATAGGAGAAACACCGGTGGGGGAGCCAACTGGGGGCTGACGCGTGGCAGGGAGCGTATCCCGGCTCACGCGTTGTGCGTGGGGCGAAGGCGTAATGATGACATTTCCTCGGAAAATGCACCGCCGCAACAGCAGCCGTCACCTCGTTTCCTGAACCGTCGACAGCTGTTAAGCACCATGACCACGAGCATACGCCTCCACTTGGTGAAATAAACACAAGTACCAGGTCACGAACGTCCTACCCTCAGGAGAGATCATACTTCCTTATGTCCTGCGCATGCTCAGAACATCAGAAGTGGGGGACTTGTGTTGGGTTAAGGGCCCAGACCGAGGTCCGGCCCACTAACCTCTTCTTCACCAGACGTGCGTCCAGTCAGACCACGAGGCCAGCCCGCAGGCCCATACTCCTTGGGAAGGGACGAGCGTCTGGGGTTGGGGGTTCAGGCCCAGCGGCTCCTCCCGACGAATGTCTATGCAGGGGCAAGGAGCAGGACCACAGGCCATCAGGGGTAACGACGAACGTCTCCTGAGCAAGCCCATAGTCATCGGAGGAAACCCAGTCCACATGGTGAGAATCCATCAAGGCCAGGAGACGAACAGCCGGAACCTCTTGAGGGTCACTTGGAGTGATCCAGTTCACTTCCTAGGCGGACGAACGTCCCCATTATTTAGGCGGGAAACCTAGATTCTGGCGGGAAGTGCATTTAATGCTGAAGATTTGGTGGTTGGGACACAAGCGGTCCACAGGCCTCCACGTCAGCATGGCCACCTGCCCATTGGCGGGTATAAATAGAAGCATTTATTTCATTGTAAAGGGTTGGCAACTTTCTATTATTAGCACTCTAGCTATAGCATTCTGACTGGCAGCACTTCTACTGTCTTGTGAGACGAACGGCCGACGGAGCCTTAGCGAAAAGTATTGTATTAGGGAGTTATTAAGAGATAATAATACCTAATCATTTACTTGCTACCCTACTGCTTTCCTAATCCATATCATCTGCTTGTTGGGCTAGTTTAATCACACACTCCATTCGAAATCCTTGGGCTTACGTGTTGGACCCGGGGGTTGAAGCAATAAACCTCAACAATATCATTGGTCAAAGTTGGATATCTTTGACTAAGAAAAGTCATTTTGGTGAACCTTTTTTGGGAAGGAAGGGGTAGTATAATTAAAAGTATTAAAATCGTCATCTTTTTGTGAGGAAAAAGAATTCTTCACGACATTTCTTAAAAAAAGTACCACATATACGTATGAAGTAAATAAGACACTTAATTAAAAAATTAACGACAAATTAATTAACGAGGATTACTTTAAAACAACAGATTACATCCACGAAGGACGTTGGCATATAAACACTACTCCGTACAATTTAGCGAGGGTGGGGAAGGAGAAAGGTGCTAAAAGGTAAGAGTAAAATACAATTAATTAACAATATTTGATAATAAAGTACTACAAATCCATTTAAATTAATCTAAGGAAATAAAACATTGAAGGAAAAACAATAAACACATACATGGTGTGTAAGTGTGTTCACTCGTTCACAAGATGAATTTCAATTGATGATTGCTGGGCTTAGTCAAATACGACTGATACATCAAATGTGTAGATAAAAATGGAAAAAGTTTATTGCTCCTATTAGGAAATAGGACTCCACTAGTGACTAGCCTACTAAATAGGGATATTACCCGAAATAGGACTAAAAAGGTTTCAAAATTCCAAAATAGGACTGACATGTTTTTATTCCCAAAATAGGATTAATTACTGCCATGTTTTGGCAGTACCAGACTTCAAACATGGCAGTATTTTCCAAATTTGGCAGTAATTAATCCTATTTTGGGAATAAAAAACATGACAGTCCTATTTTGGAATTTCCAAACTATTTTAGTCCTATTTCGGGAACTTTCCCTACTAAATAAGAACTGAATACGTATATGGCATAATCCACTCGCACACGGCACGCGTATTTTTTTTTAATTCTCCAAGAAAGGTGGGTTGAAGCTAAGATGTGAAAGCTTTCACTCACATGCATTTATAGTATATGTTCGTATACTATGCATGTATGTGTAGTGTGTGTAATTAAGAATGAGCGATGATAATATGCATGTATATGTTCGTAGTTACATGGGATTTGAATTGAAGTAGATGATAATAATGTATACGTACGTACCACATCTTTTACGTTTCAAAAGTTGAACGATTTTTTTAGCTTTTCTCACCGTATCGACAACTCTGTGAAAACCCAAGGTAATTGCCCTCTTCAACTTGTCGGTGACCTTGTTTTGTTCCAATATCGCTTCTGACAAAGTTCTCCAGTTGTTTTGACAACTCATGTCAAATTCATCGGCTTGAAACTGACCGTAAACTCCGTGTGTAGGCTGAACAACGTCGGCTACTTTACGGTTAAATTTCCTTAACCTCATGGATTCAGAGAGCATTTGAATGAAAACCAGAAAAGCAGATGCAATGGTATAATCCCTCTGACGATCATCCCTCCGGATTCCATACAGTTTAGATATGCAAGAGCTGAATTGATTATTCCCTAAGTCACAGTCTTGACGGCCCGATCTATCCTTGAGCTTGCTCTGAAGGTGACCATATGAAGCTTCAAAGGGAATTTGGAAGAAATCTTTTTCCTCATCATCACGAAAGAGTGTCCGCATCACGGGACCCAAATCAACTTCATCTCTAAAATACCATACGGTATTTTGGGAAATGAATGCGATCAAATAAACATCAGTCCTCCTACCAATAAGAGTGATTTTGTGCTTTGCTTCATTGGTTAAGTTTATAAGGAAATAGTTTTCACGCTGGAGAATATCATTGGGTTCTGAAAGTGGCAAGATAGGTATGTCCAAGTGAGTACCATCCCCCAAATATTCCAAGCATTCTTGGATAAATTTATTATAGTACCTACGATTGATACCGTCGTGTTGGAATATATTGTTTTGTTGATGACAAACGACTAGTGTTACTTTTGGTCTATAAGTGATTGCAGGAAAGGAATATAAGTCGTGATTTTGGAACAAGCCGTAGACCTGAACCCGGAACGATCCTACAATGGACATATATGGTTTGTTGTTAACTAATCATGCAGGTGGAACGGCGGACAGAACTATACTCAGGTCCAAATGTACATTATTATTGTGTTGTTGACTAACCGTGCAGGTGGAACTAATATAAGACCATTTCTAGTTCCACAGAAGGTTTAAATTAATATTGATTGCACCTACTTGATTTTCAATAAATATACCTTCCTTATATGAGTGCTTATACTTTATCAAGAATATTAATTTAAGCGAAAATACCTTTTCAAATAATACGTAACTTGCTATATTATGAGTGAATGGTTTGTATTTGGAAATTTAGTTTGGTCATTAAAGTAGCTTGACTTGCAAATGATTGCATAAATATTTTCATTGCTACAAAATATACGTAACTCTCTCTTTTGGTTTGAAAGTATTATCCTTAGTGGAAATCTTAAATGAATAGTTGTTAAAGGAAAGTTTCCTTTGATGTAATGCACGAATATACTTGCCATCTTGGAGTTAGTTGATCGAGCTTCTAATATATTTATGCGAAAAGCTTTCTTGCCTTAAAGTGGAATCTTTTTGATAGCATATGCTTCGATTGATCATAAATAGATATCTCCCAATCTGCATCCATGACTAAATATTCTAATAAATATTTTGAATAGTGTGTTGACCGCACTAGCAAGGACTACTGCTTGTTGCCATAATAGGTAAAGATATCATTACCTTACCTTATTACCTTGAGACCGTTGCATACAATAGATGCTTTCATTATTGCCTTGTTATTATGCTTTCTCATATCTCATATATTATTGGAATGTCAATATAAACGATATATGCCTTTTGCTTGAACATTGAGACATATTGTATAAGGAAGGTAATTAAAAATATCAAGGCAAGTCTACCAAGTTTCTAAGGAAAAGAAGATCAACGGACATCTTCTATCAACCTATATATTTGAAGAATCAAGAGCAAGAAGGAAGTGCTTGACCAAGATAGACATTGAGAGATATATTCATAAAAGAATTACTGAAGCTCAAGGCACCTGAAACTGCTCACTCGGAGTTCTAGATATAGTTTCTTCTTTCCCTTCTTCGTATTGTAATGGGGTTTTGAGGATTGGCTAAGAGCAGCCTCCTCGGGTTGATTTGTGTGAGTGAGAGCTTTGTTGTAAAGCTGAGAGGCTCTCTACCCGCAAGGTAGAGAAGCGTAACTCTTCCTAGAGAGGATAGAGTTGGGGTGGCTCAAGGGTAGACTAGGAGAGTTTCCCTTGTAATCATTCAAAGGCTTTTTAGTGAAGTTGTTTAAAATTCCTCCGAGGGAGGTCGAGGTTTTTTAATCCCTTTTGAGCCAAGGGGTTTTTCCTCGTTAAATTCTTGTGCACTTTACTATTTCGCAACTCCCATCTCCCCACACTAGAACTGTGCGAAAAACTGTCATGGTTCCACACACACACAATTCACCCTCTCTTGTGTTGCTAACCGTTTTCATCACGTCGGTACAATAATTAAAGGTCCTTAGTTGTAGTGGAGGGGTTCATTAGCAGCCATATGGATCTTTGGATGGGGAATGAGATTTGAGAGAGAGCTGATATCGATCTATTGGATGAGAAAGAGAATTGAGAGAGAGCTGAGTGGATATCAGTGGCGGACCCAGAAAAATAGAGCGACGGGGTCCCTATCTTAACGTAGTTCTAATTAATAAAAAATTAATAAAAAATATGTAAAATATTAAAGAAGCCTAACGTTTCATACTTAACGTTCATCATCAAAACATTAAGATAGTATAAAGTAAAAAATTGCAAATAAAAGTCATTCTACAATTCCACCGGCCGTTGATCGCATATCTTATTTTGCAACTCATTCTTCACGGACTTCATACCTAAAAACATGCATTCAACACTTATTGTAGGCTACAATGAGAAGTAGAAATAACTTATTAAGCTTATACACATGTTGATATGTGAGATACTTCTTCATGGATACCATTACAATCAAGAATTGACTTCCAAAAATTCAAAAACAACATATTGTTATGTAAATTATAAGTCAAATTAGTTTCACTATCAACAATTATTTGATCCAATTCTTCATTTACTAATGGCGAGTAATTTGAATTAATATCTGAACTACTTTCAGTACTCCCAATTTCTGAATTATCAAAATATATTTTTACCCTAAAACGTAAAAATATTGAAAAAAACATTCATAAATGCATAGATTTATTAATTTAATCTTAACATTCAAAGAAATTTTGATAATTAATCCAAAAAATAAATAAATTATGCAAAGGGTAAATAAAACCCGGGCGTGCGTGACTTTGGCTAGTTGAATTGGGTCATGGGGTTTTAAAAAGGGGTCAAAACGATATAGTTTTTGTGTTTTAGAAGAGTAAGTGCAGAATAACAAAAATTAGGGCCGCAGGGAATTGAACCCTTGACCTCTGAGTGAAGGCACACTTAAAACCCGCGTGTGCTACCGCTCCACTGCTCCAACCTCGTAGTTTTCATGGAGCTTTTGGTGTAAATATACCGTGATTAATTAATTTTATGAAAAATATATATATAATATATATAGGTATTTTTTTAAAGTCCACGGGGTCCCGGGACCCCATGGGACCCTTAGTGGGTCCGCCATTGGTGGATATGGGTGTATGTATATATAGCAGTAGTGGGCATACATTAATAGTGTGTTTTTCAAAGGACGGTATTAAGAATGTTACCAATATATGGTATCGCCTATCTTGTCATGGGTAATTAAGCTGGGAGGAATTCCCGAGATTACGGATTTACGGGGGTTTTGCAACTCGTCGGTTGCAAAAAGACAGGAGTGTGATTGCATGTATGAAAAAAGTAAAAAACCAAATTCGGATAGATGCATTCCGAATGGGTAATTGGATATCCTTGGGAGGGAAGGAAAATAAGTGGGACTCACGAAAATTAAAAATCATAATCTTGTTTAAAGTGTTGTAACTTTTGTATATATAATTCATTTTTACAAAAAATATACCAAAATTCATAATTTTTTATGAGCTTCCAAAACACCAATATTATCTATATAAAATTCAAAAAAAAATGTAATTTACTGTGTATATTAATCAGATAAAGTTTTCCTTATTTCATCGATAAAATTTAATTAGATAAAAATTACATTTGTTATTTTATTTGTACCCTTCTTTTTTTTAATAAAATAAGAGTCCGTTTGGTGACCATGTTTTCGGCTTATCAAGTTTATCAGCCAACTTTATTAACCGAACATGTAATTTTAAATTTTGCTCTGAATTTTGTAATAATAAGAAATAATAAGGTTGACATTACTTTTCTGAATGTATTGGTTGAAGTTACTATAGAGGGCCATTTTCTCAATTTTTCATATAAATTTTTCTTTATTTAATTAATAAAATATATTTTAAATATAAATTTTACATAAATTAGCAAATTCCACCAATCCAGCTGATTCACCCAAAACTTCATAACTTTTAGCAGAATCAACCGATTAAGCCGATTTTGGTACTACCAAACACACTCTAAAAAACGTGTTCTAAAAAAAATGAATTTAATAAATTAAATTGAAATCAATAAATTAATTCAATAGTATAACATAGTACAAATTACTAAAGTAAATGCTACAATATTGATTTTTTAAAGGCAACACGAATGAATTGTTTATGGGTTACAAAATAAATGTTACTTCCTCCATCCCGCTAAGAAGTTTTCGTTTTCCTTTTTTAGCAGTCCCAAAAAGAAGTTTCCCTTTCCTTAAATGGCAAGTTACCTACAACAAAACAGTTCCAAATAGTGCAAAACAGTGCCAAACAGTGTCGAAACAGTGTCAAACAGTGCCAAACAGTGTCAAAATAGTAAAATTAACTCCCTGGTAAGTTTATTTCCTTAATATGTGTGTAAGTCAAATCGGGAACTTCTTAGCGGGACGGAGGTAGTACATGATTTGGATTAGGGGATTTCAAATCCCCTTATTTAGAAATAAAACATCACATCATATTTCGACAGTCCATGGCAACCGCCAACCAGGTATATTAGGATGTGTTTACTTGGGCTAGAGCTGTCAAACGGGCCAACCCGACCCGACCCACAACGGGTTATGACTTTCGTGGGGCGGGCCAACCTGTTTACTGGCAGGCCATAATTTTTATGACCCTAACCCAGCCCACCTAACCCACGGGTTTTGCGGGCCAGCCCACGGGCCATAAATGTCAAACAAAAAAACAATCAAATATTTAAATTAACATCCAAACACATTTGAAATAATAAGATACATCACTGCCAATGACTTCATAGCTTTGTAAGTCGATCAAAAAAATGTCCAGCAGTTTAAAAAGCAAAAATCATTAAAGTTTAAAAGGCAAACACCAAAATGTCCAGGAGTTTAATGTTTTAATTCAACTCAAAACAAAAACATGATAGCTTTGATCAAACTATCTGCAGAATTCAACACTCCTTCATTAAATCCATCTGCACAACGTTTGGAGCTATATTATCCATCTCCAAATAAGCATTAAGCTAGCAGTGGATCTGAACCATCTCCGGTGCTTTCATCATCTGCACGTATTGGATTAAGCATTCAAAGTTCAACAATAGCATAGCCATAAAAAATAACAAGACATAAAGAAATATAAAATTACCATCCTTAGGGACTTTATATCCCTTTAACCGGTTACGGGCACATAATAACGCTTGGACACGTGCAGG